CTAGAGCGGTTTTTTTAATCGGATTAATCTATAATTTGATAAAAATACAGGAAGAGAAACGACTTCAAAAATCCAATAACAAGCGCAAATGTCGTGTTTGATATAGATTACAATACGAAAAAAAACCTCCTTTAGTCAAAGTAAACGGTATTAATGTTCCATCAGAGCGGCGTGATCATCCTCACCCAGGTGCACCATTGTTTTCGACCTAACATGCCTTAGTCTCAGAAACGGAATTTTTTTAAAGCTAAACCAATGAGTAATAGTGTTCGAAATTTGAGCCTTCAAATCAATGTGTGTCCACAATTACCAGCGTTTGAAAGTTTAAAAGAAGATATATAAAAAAGACATCTATAGAAATATAGGTATTCAAGACTAAAATCATACCTCCCCCCTCGCCCAATGGTGCATCTGTCATTTTAAACTATATTTATCTCGAGAAAACATTATGAAAGTTCAATCAGAGCGATGTTCTCGCTGAGGGCGAGGGCCTAAGTTTAAAGATTCAAATTTGAGAAGGCGAAATCATTCTAATCTTACTAAATGAAACTGAGATATAGTTGGCTTTTTTTATTTGGATCAAAGCCTAAACAAACACAAGTTTCATTGTTGTTCACGTCGACAGATAAAACTGGCAAGCGAAACCAGGTTTTCTAAACTTTTTATGTGTATCGGGAATTTATAGCATCAATTTGTAACATTTCAATTTTCAATCAGACATCAGTGATTCTTGCAATTCTACTAAAACTATCAGTGTTCCCATTATACATGAAGGGTTTAGACAATCTTTTTACAACCCTTTTATTTGAAAGTTTGGCAGCGACAGATGATAGTCTGCTGTAGTACAAATTGGGCGAGCCAACCAGATTCGACCTCAATCAATTAATAGATCACTTTACAATGTGGAAGAAATTGCTGGTGTGTGTCGAGCTTAAGGAAGTGGGGCAACATACCATTAAGGGTTCAATGGACGAGATCAGCCACCCACCTGTATTCCATTTTAACCAGTAGGATGTTTTTTCCAGTCTGTTTCTTGATTTTAATCACCCACACGGGTGACGATCCCAAGTTTGAAATTCTTACCAATTCCATTACATGTATTTGTAACCATGCGCAACTGGTTATAGCTAAGGTATGAACCCGAAGCTAATGCCGCTCTCCTTATTGCGCATCGTATGCCAGTGCCCAATCTCCTTAGTCCAATCAGGTGCTTTGGGAAGAGGACGTAAAACTCCACTTCATTTCAAGGATGGTTCGATAGTTGATAAACAGAATGATGTACAACAAGTATTGTCAACATGAAGTGCTTCTTTACGATCGACGACCTCTGAAAATTAGTTGTTTATCACCGTTGAACTCACATATGTTAAATTTTCGGAAAAAAACCCTCAGGGAAATCAATTCTGAAATTTATTTTAGAAGTCATGAATTGAAGCATATTCAAAATCTACCTACGTTAATAAATGAATAGCTTGAAAAAAATGTTTTTGTCTAACAACAAATGAAGCAGGTTTCTTCACAGAAAGCAATCCACCATTTTAGAGATGTCAAAAACGACAAAAAACTTCCGTTGTATACATTCAGTGAAGCACTCGTGTCGCATTGGAAAATATCGTTTCACTTTGGTAGTAAACTATGGTAGTCTGTACATCTTGTGGTTATGTACTTGATGACAGCAACAAACATCTGCATCTCTGTGCACATTTACCTGCGTATATATAAGTAATGTGTGTATATAATTTAACAATTTGCACATCGAAATATTGTGTTATTATTCCAACTCAAACACATATACGAGTGTATATAAATTTACACATCGATCGAAATGTTATGTTATCTGTTCATTTTAACAACTTGCACATTGACATATTGTGTTATTTGTTCATCCCAAACACATGTTCTTTGTGTATATAATTTAACAATGTGCTTATCGAAATATTGTGTTATTATTCCAACTCAAACACATGTACGATTGTATATAAATTTACATATCGAAATGCTATGTTGTCTGTTCATTTCCTACACATGTAGTTTGTATTATATAATTTGACAACTTGCACAATTGTGTTATTATTCGAGTGTATATAAATTTACACATCGAAATGTTGTGTTATCTCTCTCAAACACATGCACATTGTGTATATAATTTAACAATTTACACATCGAAATATTGTGTTATTATTCCATCTCAAAAACATATACGTGAGTATATATATGATTTTACACATTGAAATGTTGTAATTTATTAAAAGTGTGTCATTATTATTATCATTATTATTATCATTATTATTATCATTATCATTATTATTATCATTACCTTGCATGAGAAAGCAATATTGATTAAGTCCCTTGAGGACAGAGTGAGACAGAATACTAGACTTGTCAAATATGCATAGAATGTTTTAAGAATGAGTGATTTATTCCCAAAGGAGTACATGATAGTTTGTTAACATTTAAGTGGCTATTAACGCTTTGATCTTCGAGTCAAATTGTTAACCGACTTATATCTAAATAAAAGATCATCTTTCCTATTCTAGTGTCCTGAATTAAGATTTTCTATTAAGGTTGCGGGCACACGAACAGTCTTGGCAGCACACGGGACCTGGGTTATTTTTATTTCCGAACCACCAGACACATTTTCCAAGTCACTTCCTTCCTACCTGCCAAGAAGTGGAAACGGTTTAGAAAATTGCCTTCATTGCACATTGCACGACCAGTCGGCATTAGCCAAATCAGGTGCAGTAGACTCAACTCGTTGCATCATTATCCGGTTGATCATATTATAACAGTGACTATTGTTACAATCAGCTAGTTCTAAACAATACATGCGCATGTGCAACAGGCACATTCCCTACTTTCTTCTCGGGATAAACCACGTCGATTTAACATGGCAGTTTTAGGCCAGCAATGGAAACATATTTAATAAAGGATTTGCTAAATTGACAAATGTCCATTTATCAACGATGTCAAAATCAAGTTTGCTCAGTTGACGATGTATACTACGAGTTTGACGATTGTAACTATAGTAAACCCTTTGTATGGGATCCTTTACCATAAACTGCCATAGTAAATGGGCGATGTTTATCCTGAGACAGTATTAGCATGTTGCGCATGCCCACATATCGTCCGAACTGGCTTATTTAATCGACTTGACTGCACTGGACTACTTTTCCTGTCATTTGAACTGTAATCAGCTTAGAAAATGAGGTCACATTTCAATAGTGTCCCAAAAGACTCACCCGTTTACGTATGAATCTTGAGTAGAATTAAAAGAGTTCAGTGGGTTACCCATCCACACCATGTCAAGTTATTACGAACTGCGTCTTATACCTTGACATCATTTAGGAACTATAACGGCAGTTTGTTATTTGATTGCATTCGTTTCTAACGAACAAAGCAGTTCATAGAATACTGAACAAATGAAACTATCCTCTCAAATACATTTACTGCTGTTGGATTAATTACAGTGGCGGTGCCAGCCTTCTGAAACTGGGGGTACAATTAGGGGGCAGACTGATTCAATGGGGAGACAACTGCAGAGGCTGAATTCAAAATGTAGCAACTCTGTGTACGCGTCAAAGTCTCTCATAGAACTCGTTAGAGAGGGTTCTATTGTCGAATTGTCGAAAAAATGAAGTTATCAATTGAATTCTAAGCACAGACGTATAAAAATCTATCTTCAAAATGGTCAAAAATACAGTGGGGGTACAACTGGAGGTGAAATTCACCCAACCCCCCTCCCCAAACGTTGACGCCACTTATTTATTAACATGACCTTCAAAATTGTCTTCGTTACTTATCTTTGTAAATAACCTTCACGATCACTAATTAAAAAAAATATTAACTTTCCACCTACGATGCATTAATTCGCTTTAGTTTTGTTTGGCCTGATTTAAATTCCAATCAATAGTTTTAAAGAGGCAGTATGCACAATTTTTATTATCAAAACCGTTGTATTATATATCTTTGTATCCACGTGATCAAACTGAATTTGTTTTATTTGTTACGTAAGCAGTTTGGTTTTGTTTTGATGAAATCTTCAGAATAATGAAATCTTCAGAATAAGTAAGAGACGTATTTCTCTACAATTAGGTGATTAGTTTTCTTAAATCTGTACAGTAGTTTTCTTACAGCTTCCAAAAAACAAAGCAACGTTAAAATATTTACGTAAACCTTTTAACAAATTTATGAGTTCAGACTGCGCCTTTAAACATATTAAAAAATATTAAAGATATTATATTTAATTTCGAAATTGTTATGTCCAATTCCTTTTAGACCCATGATTATTATTTATTTTTTTAAATTTATATATTTTTGTAGCTGATAGACTTTTATTATCATTACGTTTAAAAAACATTAAAAGTATTTTTTGAACATATTTTGTGTTTTTAGTTTAAATGATTCTATAAGAGGTTGACACCATCTTTTGTAATAAATGCTATCTAAACGGATTGTTAAAAGGTTTTCTAAATTTTTTATGTGTATCGGGGAAACTGATAGCATCAATTTGCACCATTCCAAATCTCAATCAGTCCTCTTTGGTTCCTGCAATTCCACTAAAATTAAGTGTTTTATGACGTATCATATAAGACCTTTGCAGGGGTAACGTCATAAAACACTTAGTTTTAGTAGAATTACAGGAACCACAGACGTCTGATTTAAAATTTGAATGGTGCAAATTGATGCTATCATTGTCTAGAATTGTGTAACTGAAGATGGACAACGCCATACAGTGTTTAATGAGGGAAACTGTACGTAGACAATTACCATTGCGAATTTTGTTATGAATCAAATACGGTTGACGTCCTACGTGAAACTTTACAAAGCAATTACCATTACAACTTTGTTAGTTTAATAACATCACAGTGCAATGTATAACGATTTGTTTTTATACTATGACGATTGGTAATTCATAGACACAATTACGATTACGAATTTGATTTTTTTAATAACATTAAATTCATAATACATAATTCTATTAAATAACACAAGTTACATAGTTATTTACACACTTTAGTAATATTTTTCAAGTCTTCTCTAAAAGTTTGATTCATGAACGCGTAAATAATCGGATTGGCCACGTTGTAAGAAAAATACATATAGAACACAATCATGTTGAAAGGAATCAAGTCCAATGTCATTAAAAACGCGGGGAGAAAAGCTATAACGAACACAATAGTAACAACGAACAACATAAGCGCTGTTTTGATGTTGGCGTACAGGGTTGTGTCCTTAACCGTACTGGGTCTCTTACTCTTTTGTTTGGGCTGTAACGGTTTCGTAGCAGAATTTCCATTTAACGTAGTTGTGGTAGTTGTGACCGTAGCTGGAGTGCCACAGTCAGTGACTGCAACACTAGTATAGTTGTTTTTCTTCTTGCGTTTGGCTTTTTTGGCGCGACGCATCAGAATAGAGCGATATATCATACAGTAGAGGACTACTACGATGACAAAAGCGACGATAAACGATGCCGTATAAATTCGCTGATAATACAAATTAAAAGCATCGCCTCCAATAATCAAGGAGCTCCGGAAACAGATTTGTGAAAATTCAAGCACAGTTGTGACGTTAGCGACTTCTGGTGCCGGATCTATCGCCGTCGCGTTGTCCGTCATGTTCCTGCTGAGGAGAACAGCGTCTACGATTGTTCCATTCGAATCCACTATTACGTCTGTAGGATAATACATCCCATACTGCAGAGAAGTTAACACTCCAAATGTACAAGCTAAACACGCAAGGCACCACACAATAATTTTGGCTCGTCGCACGGTGAATGCGTGAAAAAACGGGTGACAAATGCAAAAGTAGCGGTCGAACGCAATGGCCGTCATGATATACGCCGAGAACGGAATATTCGACGTGATTAAGAACAAATAGAGTTTGCACAGAACGTCGTACACTAAATTATATCCCAATAATTCAAAAGTGATCGTATATGGTATTATAACCAAGCAGGTAAGGAAGTCCGTTCCGGCCAAGGCAAGAATAAAAATCACCGACGTCGACTTATCGCGACGCTTAAAATAAATATAAAAAGAGGTTGCGTTCCCGATCGTACCCACAACACAAAATAAGGATAAGACGGGCACCACAACGTAGAGCGGGACTTTCGTTTCCTCCATTTCAACCAAGGTATCATTGCAAGGATATGATCCAAAACTGTTATTACAAAGAATTGTACTCAGATTCAGCTCGGATTCCATAATTTCCTGAAATGAAAAAGAATATAGAAATGAAATGGAGTTTTACGTCCTACTTCTCTGCTACTTGGTAAGTTAATACGAAGTAACTCAGTGTTTGATGACGTTACTTATAACAAGGGGCCTTAAGTGATATACAGACTTACTTTGCGATCAGTGAGGTCATCAAACACTTATTTTTTGTGTGAAATTGCACGAACCACAGACGTCTGACTGAAAATTGTCCCCAACACACATGAACGTTTTACAAAACCTCTTTCAGCAATAGAGAATGTATCATTAGGAAACAACAGGATTAGTATGTATCACGTTTCGAATTTAATTATGTAACTGATATCGATTTTCAATTTAAATTCGAATTCAGACAATATAATATTCACATTATTACTTTAAAGATGGGTTTCCTTATCCGTTAGTGTCAAATTAAGCAAACTATTTGATTAATTGATGTTTCTAATGAATTATCATGTATTCTTAATCATATCATTATGTTCTTATTGCATATAATTAAGAGTTTTTACCAATCTTATGTCTATGTATGTACAGTCTGGATAAACAAAAAAATACTTTTTGACCTTTCTTGATCGGTCACTCATTGGAATTCTTCTGGTAAATCTCTTCTAATTAAACTAATTATGAATTAATTATGGACAAACTGGTATTATTCCAAGTCATTAGAACACCTCTACTTTCTATTCATATAAGATTAGAAATTTCATAAAAATAAGGGAACCCATCTTTAAATAATATATTAAAATTGAAAATATTCAGATATCTGAAATCATCATTATACTTAATTACAATAGAAAGGCACATCAAAATATACATTATGCATGCAAAGAAAGAATTTTCCATATCACCTTTCAGTGACGCCCAATACAATAGTCACAGAGCGCAGTGATATATTCAGAAGTATAGTCCCTTTGGAATTTAAGATATGAGCCGAGCAGGCCCGTAGCCAGACTTGATTCTTCAGAGCGGCAAGAAATATAACCAGAGAGGCAAGTAATATAACCAGAGAGGCAAGTAATATAACCAGAGAGGCAAGTAATATAACCAGAGCGGCAAGTAATATAACCAGAGCGGCAAGTAATATAACCAGAGAGGCAAGTAATATAACCAGAGAGGCAAGTAATATAACCAGAGAGGCAAGTAATATAACCAGAGAGGCAAGTAATATAACCAGAGAGGCAAGTAATATAACCAGAGAGGCAAGTAATATAACCAGAGCGGTAAGAAATATAACCAGAGCGGCAAGTAATATAACCAGAGAGGCAAGTAATATAACCAGAGAGGCAAGTAATATAACCAGAGAGGCAAGTAATATAACCAGAGAGGCAAGTAATATAACCAGAGCGGCAAGTAATATAACCAGAGAGGCAAGAAATATAACCAGAGAGGCAAGTAATATAACCAGAGAGGCAAGTAATATAACCAGAGAGGCAAGAAATATAACCAGAGAGGCAATGGTGTATGGTGGTTAGTTGCAGTAATGAATTGGTCGGTTGTCAGGATTTTTCAAGGGAGCAATCCATCCACTCCCCACCGGCTCCCCCTGTGGCTACGGGCGTGATGCCGAGATGATTTTCTTTCAAATTTCATAAATTGTTACAAAAATATCTGCTCTTTGTCAAATCGTAAATTTAAAAACCAACAATTACAAATTCACTCGAAATAGTTAAAGTGTCAAAAAGCTTTTAAGAAAAATTAGCCAAGCTTAAAATTGCAAAGAGAAATTAGTATCTATCAAAGAGCGATTATATTCTTCTAAAACTATTTGTTATTATAGATACAAGAAGGAAATATCGTAAAATCCAATTAACCATACTTCATGCAATTATCTTCAGTCAAGGGTCAAAGTTCATCCATTTAAAGGGGCATTCTGTTTTTTTTTTTCGTTGGCCAAAAAAAAAAAAAAAAAGAAAACAAAAACAAACTTTTGCTAATATTTGTGAAAAACATAAACCACAGTCTAGAGAAACGCATCTGAAAGTTTTGACACAATATGATTACGTAAGCTTTTAAGTTCGTTACGCTTTCAGGTAGGTGTAACAATATTACTGTACGATTCACGTAGTATAAACGAGCCTACCACTAAAACGCGTTTAAGCTGTCTTCTTATTATTGGGTTGATGTAACCAATTCAGAAACCAAAGGAAATATTAGGACGTTTTTGAAAATGAAAATTGCTTAAAGGAATTCTTCCTCTTAGAATTCAAATTTGAAGTCGAGGTAGTAATTCAATATGGCTGTAAGAACCATACCGAGATTTGTTTGAAGCCCGCGGAAGTGCTTAGTGCTTAAATCGCATTACAACACTCAACATAAAAGTGAAAAAGACGTGACTTGTATGACTACATCACGATAAAAAAAATGACTTCAAATCCATTTTTATGGTGAAGCCTTCATCCTGCATTCATTAATGTTCCCCCTAATAGAAAGATATGTACGTCCTACTTTTATGGTCTGTCAATAAAAATGACAAAACGACTGTTCTTCGTCTGACAGAAAGACATTCATCAACTATATTTGACATGAAATAAAAAAAAAATGACTTTTTGAAACGGTACTTGTTCTCTTCAACGTAACTAAGTTCGATCCTATCTACCGCCTTAAAGTGATACTACGTCTTGGAACGTCATAAAATTTAAAAATTTTAAACTTGGCGAGTAAGAGTTAGTAGATATACTAGGTGTCATAAATAACATAACAGGATCCTTATATAATCCGATAAATCCAAAAAACTTAGTAAGTATCCATAGATATGCAATTTACTATTGAAAAACGCTTAATATCAAGATTAACACCAGGTAAGTTCAGTGATGAATATATACTCATATTGACCATTTTGAGAACTTAAATTGTATGTTCATTCTAAGATGTAGTATCACTTTAATAAAAAATATACTAAATTCCATCATGTTTGCCGCCCTCATAAATCGAACATAAAAAATAAACTGACACGTACCAGTGGCTCCATTACCATAGAGACTGGTTGAACCGGATTTTAAGAAATACGGTGATCTGATTGGATTATATAACAAAATTTAAAATCAATTTTAGTGATCGACTTATCAGATGTCTGCAACACAACAATCACCTTAAGTTAAGTTTTCCAGAATAGGGCATCAGATAAAGAAAAAAATGACTTTCAGTGTCTGTTAATATAACCTTATTTTGACCCTCACCTATATATTTCCCTATTTATTAAAGGGACAGGTGCGATTTTTGTGACCAATCATACTTTAGTTTAAAAAAAACGGATTTTTTTTAGCTAAGCCAATCAGTAATAGTGTTCACAGCCCACCGTCGAAATTTGAGTCTTCAAATCCATGTGTGTATTATCCGTTTTTGAAAGTTAAAAAGAAGACTCGTCAGAATTGGCAAAATGTCATATTAAGTTCCCGCTTAATGGTTAAAAATTCGTAGTCACGGAAGTCATGTTTGTCATATTTGAACATTGGACATATATATCATTTTATGTCCAAAAAACGCCGGAAGTTTCAGAAATTCCATTCAAAATGAAGAAAATTATGTTATACCAAAAGGCTATTCTGATAAATACGCAAATGCAAAAAACATATGTAATATTTTTAACAGAACACAATTGCCTTAGTTTTTTCGCTGAAATTGCTTTCAAAGTAAGACATATATCAAGTTTTGATTTTAAATACAATTGCACACTTTTCCTCCAATATTTCATAATGTAAATTAATCAAGAATTTAAGAATTATATGTTGTTTTTTGTCATAACAATTGTTCAAATTGTGTCAAGTTTCTCTACAAAAAATTAGAATCCAAGGAAATTATATTTTATCAAGTAGCTTTGTAATACATCAACAATTGGCATTTCGGAATTAGCCCGAAGTCACAAATACACGAGTGCATTGAAGTGATTGTAAAGAGGTTTTCGAACTTTTTATCTGCCGGGGACTATGACACTGATAGCGTCACTATCACAAGAGATGCTAATAACCTTTGCGATAGTAACGACAAAACACGCTCAGTTTAATTGCATGAAACACAGACGTCACCGTAAAAATTAAAATGGCGCGAAAAAACGATACAATTTTTCATTTGATGACACTTGTGAAATGTGTTGAAACGTTATATTCTTTGTTATTCAAGAAGTGCCGAGTGCTTTGGATGGGACCATAGACCCAGGTACCGAGTGCTACAGGTTGTGCACGTTAAAGATCCATCGACAGCTGGAAATCGAAAAAGAGTAGGCTTATTCCGGTAGTAAAATTTCCCTCATTTCACAGTGTAAGGCGTTTCCCGTCTTCATTAGCTCAATTAGATGCAGAAAAGTAGGACGTAAAACTCCATCCATAGAGCCTTAAAAACTCCCTTTTAACAATTCATTTCATTCAAGTAAAAAATTTAGAAAACCTCTTTACAATCCTTTTAATGGAGAATAATACACAAGAATTGCCTTAATTGAATAGATCAATACGAACCTGATTCCATATAAAGCCAATTAGTCCATAACTGTTAACAATCACAGAATCAAATGAACAAAATGTTCTGTTAACATAGTATTTAAGCCAAGTTGAGCCATTTAGAATCAACAAGCCAACCGTCGATAATTAATGTCGTTCTGATTTGAAAGCCGGGCATTACGATAGCAATAACGGCACACTTACACTTAGACTAAATTTATCGCTGCCTTTTCTTATTGGACATATTCTTCGTAGTGAACTATTAATGGTTCTGGAGGCGAAACCAATTGACAAACATATTTGTTTATAGAACGTAAATTCATTAGCTGAATCAACCTGAAGAGGTTTATATGACCCCAAAGTTCGGCAATCAATTACTCTTCCTGACGGATATTGACCCAAGTTCGGTAAATTATAGCAATAGCTTTCGATGAAATCTGAAAAGATGGAAATGTAAAGGAATCCAAATATAGTTTGGCGTAAGGGAAATTGAATCGGTAACATCTTTGACAAATCCTCTGGAATGTAACAAAATACTCGGGCAATACATTGTGTCGATCAGACGACTTTCGTCAGACATCGAATGCCACTTAAGTGTCTTTCTCACAAGTTTAATTTCCTTGTATATAAAAAGAAACCAAACGGCTTCGTTGATTTCATCACTCAAAATGATGAAATGAGAAGTATTTATCTTCATTTATTTCTATCAGTTACCACACGGTTTTAAAACCAGTAGATAATATCTGGAGAATCATTTTTAATTATGAACCAAATAGATATGATTTGCAAAGAAATTGCCCAAATGATATTACGATGTATGTCTGATCTCATCACAGTGCAGTGAAGAGGTACATACATTCAGACTTATGAAAAGTGTTATAGGTCATAAATAAGTACTAACTGTCTAAGTCAATATAAACGAGCATATCTCTTTAAACTGGTACCTAATGACACTACGATATATGTCTGAAAATGTCCAATTAAGTGGATTTCAGGGTAATACATTACATTACGACTTCTGAGAAGAGTTACGGGGAGCTTTTTAAAGAATGCATCTTAATAAAATGGTATCTAATGACACTACGATATATGTCTGATCATGTCCAATTAAGTGGATTTCGGGGTAATACATACATTCCGACTTCTGAGAAGAGTTACGGGGAGCTTTTTAAAGAATGCATCTTAATAAAATGGTATCTAATGACACTACGATATATGTCTGATCATGTCCAATTAAGTGAAGTTGGACATTCAAGATATGTTGAAATATGCACCGTGCTTTTCCAATGTCACTTACAGTTACCATCTGTCTTGAAAGACATCTTTACAGGATGGAGTGTTTCCTGACATATTGATCATAGTGACATTGTGTGGGCGTCATCATGAAGGTTTCTCTATAAGTTCATCTATCGATACATGTAAAGAAAGAAACAAAAAACAGCAATTTTTACAATGACAGCGAGAATCCTTTTTTACTGGTTGGTAAATCTCTTGATTGATCTTTCCTGGATTATCCGTACCCATTTACTGCTGGGTCGACTGTAAAGAGGAATAATGGCGTATTCAATGTCACTAGACTGTAAGATGTGGGTCGAAAACAAAACCCACGACCACCATTTGTTCCAAGATGTCAAGCAAATAAAGCTATGTACAGTTTCCAACGCATCGAAAAGTAACAGATCCCTATAGTTTTCTTACGATAATGAAATTTTAGCCAGGAACATCTTGCCTTTGATGCTTCTACTCGATCTATATTTGGCCTATGATATGGAGGGAGACCCAAGTTCTGATAGTAATTTTGGACGAAGGTCGGACTTAAAATTGCTGACGGTATATTTGGCGTCTCAAAGCAAAGTTTGGCGGGGGTCGACCAAAGGAATGACGAAAAGAATGAGATTGTCTTAGTGCCCTGGGTTGCCCGTCCGAAAACACGTGACCCAGCATCAAATGATCAAAAGCAGACATCAACCAAATCTCAAAGCGGTCTGCCTTGTACACGATGTCGTGAAATGTCTCACAACAATATTTCTATTTGCATATATTGAGCCGTCCAAAACCGCTGCACTCTATACACGCCATGTTGTACAGAAAAGACATCGCCATGGACAAAAGAAGCTGAGCTGATACCCAATTCGTGTAAAATAATCGTCAAATTTGGATTAACTGACAAAACTGCGACGAAAGTAAGAGGAAAGTATGACGATGACGTAGTGTGAAAAATGGTATATCACGGTAATGATTGGCCAGCATTATTCAAATTTACCATAATGTCCAGATAGTCTCGTGATGACTTGACCGATAGTCACAATATACCATTGATTGCATAACTAAGTGCCAGGTTTATGCCCCGAAAGTTTTAAAGCTATGGACTATATTCAGATCGCAATATAACTAATATCCAATGAATAACCATTGAAAATTGCAGAACAAAAAAGATTTTCGCCAAATAAAGCTGTGGGCACACGAACAGTCGTGGTCGCCGATTTCTATCGTCGTCTCCAATCTTGAATAAAACCTCGCGTTTGCCCGAGCTTCCACGACAAGATTATGGCGTTGCCGACAGAATTTATAATATCAAATATATCAAGCTTGATCGTGTGCTCACACCATTAACACACAACGAAATCTTCCTTTCATGACCGATATAGATGGTTTTACGGAAACAGCCGATAATTGCCGAATGGTATTGTGATTAAGATGTGCTACATAATATATAGTAATTAGTTGTCAGGCTGAAATACTTTATGTCAAAACATGTTGCTCTGGGAGACATTTTAAACAAAAACGACAGCAAGTAAACTAATTTCAGTCTTAAAAATCGATAGAAAAAACTCGGCAAAATTCACGAAACTAAATAATGGTAACTTGCATGAAAGGCACTCATCTGTGAATGTAATTTTGGAATGTGGTTTATTTTTTTATGTTGATGAAGCTTTCGGTGCCAATCAACAATTCATGATGTGTTTTAGTTGAATGAAAAATTCGAGCTTAATGCGTCTCTGGTGCCAACAAGATGCTACTAGTATCTGCAACAGCCCTGATGACGTCTGAATTTTTTTGTTATTTCAGTTAAATATTCCTCTTAAATCCGTCATGTGCATTAAAGGGACAGGTGAGCCATTTAGGGGTTGATTTTAGTCTTGAATATATTAAATAGTCTTCAGAAGTACATGTAATAGAATCACATAATTCCTTCGAAAGTATCTGAAACTCGGAATTTTCTTCACTATTTCTCTATATGTCTTTCCTATATATCACAGAGTATCTTAAATTGACGAGTCGTCATTTTAACATTTAAACGCAGATAATTCTGGACACACATGGATTTAAAGGCACAAATTTCGACGGTGAGCGGTGAACACTATTACTGATTAGCTCAGCTAAAAAATTCCAGTTTCTGAGACTAAAATATGATTAGTCAAAAATTGCCTGCTTTAATTGGCTTTAAATTATTTGTACAGCCATATTCCGATCAAAAATTATTTATGTAGAAAAAAACGTATCAATTGTGCATCAAGGGAAAACCTGTTGCTACAGTGGCATACACCTTCACTTCTTTCTTCAATTTGAAAATGGCTTTTGACGGACATAGCCTGTAGCATGGGCAAACGCCGTTCTTTTTTTCCTGTTCATTCGAAGCTGTTTCGAAATGCATCACTGACATGGACATACCCCCCCTCCCGCTCCCCCCCCCCCTCCTTCCTCCCTTTAACTAAAATAGCAGTAGAATAAATGATGTAATTTGATGTTCGAGGTCGATCGTAAAATTCCATGCATAATTGATAAGAACCTGTCAAAATGATTTGCGACACTTTCATGAACTTGGATTGACTTGGAATGAACTGGTTAAGATCTGCCTGCCAACATGGTGGAAATACTATGATTTAAGTGGATTTGAGCTTCTGTAGGGATATAAATTTCAGTCTTTCAACTTGCCTTATCCGATACATAAAACAAGAGATTATCTGTTTGTTTATGTGGATTTAAATTGAGCCGATGGAGTTCAATATTCTTATTCTCATATGAAAGAAATCGTATGAAAGCCTTTATATCTCAGTTTCAACCTGAACGATATTGATATATCTACGACTAATTACTTGCCGTCAGTTGCTCGTGTTCTACGTTCAAAACGGAATGACACCTTACATCTGCGACCATCTTGTTGATCGAAGTGCTCCCTTAAACCATTTCTACAGCTCTTTCTGGCCCTATCCTTTCCTCAGCCTGCAATGTCTTGATGTCTTGATAGAAAGTCTGCTATGGATCAGGTCTCAGGGATAACAATTATAAAAGACATACAAAGTCAAGTGTTGTTGACGCATTGTTGATTGCCGCGTTTTCCGCCAAGGCCGATTTTGTGATTGATAAGACCCATAATTGGATATCCTTATTATTGAGATGAGCTCCTAATTTATTGAATGATTAATGGACATTGCATGGAGGTCAGAGGTTAAGCAGGCTTTATTACAAGATAAACACTGACCACACAGTAGGCTGTAGCCCAGACAGTAAGATCTTAGGATCAATGGCATCATTTGATCGGCAAAGTCAAAAATTGGTCTTAATCCTCGGACCGAGCGAAATTAGTAGTACACGGTAATTGGCTGAAGCTCCCCTATGCTAGAGATGGAAGGAAAGGGAGTAGGCTGATGCCACTGCAGTGGCTCAACTAACATAGGGGCTGGTTAAACCATGCCCACGAGCCCCAGTCCGTAAAGGGGCCGGAGGGGGGGGGGGGCCTCTCGCATTAAATTGACTTATAGAGGCGTCCCAGAATGCAGATTCTGTGGGGAAAGAGCTTCAACCTACTAAAGTCCACAGGCCACTTCTCATCTAGTTGAGCCACTGTGAAACTGTCCATAAGAATACCCCTTATGCACATAGACGTCGATGGTCACTAGAAAGCTGGTCAGACATGTAAAACTGTTAAATAAAAAATATTAGATTCCATTTTAACTTAATTCCTTCTAATTCTTCATATGTAACCATTAGAAACAGATCATTGCAGCACAATTGCAGGGAAAAAATATTAAGGTACTTAAATATGTCTTAAGAAGCCGAATTAAATTTAATTCAAAAATCGATCGCTGCATGGGTTTAAAATGATAATATAAGAGTGACGAACAAAGGAAAGTTTCAAGTAGGTAAAACGGCTGAAGCGGCTTCTTCAGTTGACGTAAATAGAATACAATTGAAAAGCCCTGCATACTTGAAGTTAATTCGTTTATTGATATTATATTATAAGCTCTTTTCCTCCGTAATTGCGACCATAACAATTAGATCGGCCTTGATTGCCAGTTGTTATTGTCTGTGGACTAGTTGGTTCTGGCGAAGACTTAAGTAGAACAATTCAGGCATGTTTGGCTTAACGTCAATATAAATAAATTAGATGATATGCGCGATGCTTATGACCGTGTCAAAATGAAATGGTACTTTTCTGCACCATGTGGGCTAATGAAGACGGAATATGGCCGTTTCCAGATTGTTTTTAGTCCTGATCTGATCAAGCGGCATAATATCAGAAAATTCGTGCCTGGTGTGCTTCCTGTGCATGTGAATTTAACGCCAATATAAATAAATTAGATGATATACGTCATGCTTATGACCGTTTCAAGAGTGGGCTTGTGAAGTTATAACGGGCTTTACGGGTTTTCTTCATATAACCCTTAATCAAATCCCAAAAAGCCACTATTTTTTGCCTCAAGGTTGAGATGTTTTTACATCATTAACCCTACATTTTGTGATTCGTAAATGTGTGATATGTGCGTTATATAATGTTTTTCGTCCCCAGGATAATCTTACAAGATTTCTACCACAGTCGCGTTCTAATGACGATATTTTTACCAATCAAAGAATGTAATTTTGAATGTTGTTTCTCGTAATAATGACAGATTATTGAATAGGCAACCTCAAAGTAGAGAAAAATAACTCAACACTGTGGTTGCTTAAAGTAAAATCATTAGAACGCGACTGGAGTGGAAAACTTGTTAGATTACAAAAGGGACGAAAAAACACATGAAAAAATTTAATCCTATTGAAATTTAACTGCTGTATCTGGGGCTGACATGGGTAATCTAGCCTGGAACCCGAACGTAAGGATTGTCAAGAAATACAGCATTAACGGTTTCCTTTCTCGCACGAGACGACAATTATCATATACGATTAATGCAATATGTACCTTTTCAGTCATTATTGTTGCAAAGTTGGCATGTTAACTAATTTATTACGTGAAATAAATGCGAAATCGATCACAAGCCACCTTTGTAATGTATTCTGTTCTATATGAATGGGCTAAAGGAGAATTAACAAAGCTTGTTTACTG